ACAATTAAACAATAAATAATAGAAGCATTAAGTGAAGATATGAAACTTCAGTTGCAATGGATCTGATTTAACTTACATTGACGAGTCATAGAATACATTCTCTTCTTTGCTAGTGTCGCCGTCTTGTTGAGACCACGTGGTCGGCCGTTGTGTGCCGGAGGAAACCACCATGCTTAAGGGAATGTGGTCGGTCAGAGACGTCAATTGGGTGACGAAATGAAACTCTTCACACATCTTTGTACCAAAATAAAAAATAAAACCAATGGACTTTTCCGTAGTGTCAATCAAACTTAACGACTACCCAATCAGAATAGTGCCAGAAATACGCGCGTGTCCAACAAACAACGTACATTTACGCGTCCAAGGGGCGGGGCCTAGTGGAAAGGTCCACTGAAAATTATAAGAAATTAAAGTTCAAACAACCAGAAAAAAAGGGTATAATTAATGAAAAGGAAGCCATTTTTATATAGTTGTCTCAGGTTATTTAAAGAGTCAAATGGTTCTCATTGTTTAAAGTTGCACTATAGCAGGATAAAATTACCAGTGGCAACAGAGGGAATTAGTGGCGAAATTGTTCTTAGTTAAAGAGGTTTTCAGCTTTGGATGTGAATACCACAGTCCAACTATATCCACATCTTAAAATATGATTTCGATAATGGTTGAGAGGAAAGGTTCCTAAAGCAAATATTTTTTTTTTTTCTTTAATCTAAATTTTTTTTTAATTAGATGTTTGATTGAGACACCACAGGCTCGTATAGTGATTGCAATTTGTTCAAAGTGTGAGAAGCAATATCACAAAAATTTCCCATTTGATTTTAATATGACAATGGTCAATACACACGCGCTTCTTCAAAATTGTATGTATTTTAAGGAGCGTGCAAACCTGTTGGTAATGTGCGTTGTCGTTGTTGTAGAGGATCAAATCGACCCTTCGACGGCCATTTCCTTTGTAGCGCTGGTAGTCTTTCAGATTCGATGGAAGGCTTCCACTGGCGGATGTAAAATAAACTTCAAGATCCTCAACATATTTGCCGCGCAACTGCACATCTTCCAGAATTCTAAGAGCAAACACATATTTGGAAAGTATTGTTCACTGTAGCTCTGTTTTAAAAAATGAGGTTTACTGATTAATCCATTATTGTGAATGAGACCTAGATGACTTGTCATAATTTGTTTTCATCTAAATGATTACTGATGTGAAAGTGATACAAAAAAATAATTTCGAATACACGCCGCTTAATTACGAAATTAGTACAGTGTCATTATTAGGGCCTATTACAAGGTCATAACATATCTGATTACCTCTGTAGTCCCTCTGGGGTGCTTACTTCCTTATCATGTAATGTGCTACTCTTCAGCACTGTTCCCACAGTCCACGAATGATCTAGGCCAGGGCTCTGCCTACACGGGTCTTGGTAGATCGAGAACAGTGGGTGATTGAAGTCTGAAACGTCTTCTAAAACACAAATTTCGGTAGCCGTCAAAATAATCTTAAACTCAGTCCACACATCATGTGACAAACTTGTGTGATGTGCCCATATATGGGCATGATGACGTCATATTACACCCAAATAATGGAATATCACTTTTTTGTCACAAAACAAAATGATAGTGTGAAGACGAGAGCTTTACAAAATTATTTTTTCGTTCACTGTTTTTTTTTTTTGTTTTTTTTATCAATTCGATTTTTTTTTTTTGTTTTTTTTTGTATCAATTTGACGAATACATCAAAAGCAAACATTAGATCTAGACTATTTTTAACAAAGGATTAACTCTCTTCTGACACATTAAAATATCGGGTAATAGCGGGATGGAAAATAAATTAGTAATGTTCTATATAATCGCTCATGAGGCTTAGGCTATAAGCTGGGGATACTGTCACGCAATGTTCGATTATACATCTGATGGTGAATACCAAATTTTTCAGAGATATCTAATAAAACAATTCGAATGTTATTCTATGTATACTTGACGTCGGACAATCACTACTTCATTTCTGTATTTATTTATTTTTCTAACGGTTTTTTCCATACTTAAGGTAAAGCCAGTGGCTGATGGGGGTGCTGATGGGGGATGCTTGAATGTGAAGTGGGGAGGGGCGCTCAATGATCAGTTGAGGGGCGCTAACTCTCAAAATACGGTGATTCTAGGTGATTTTTAACTACTTGGAAGTGATTTTGGAGGGAGCGACTGGGGATGGGGCACGAGTAATTTTTGGAGGGCCGTGTGCGCCCCCCCCCCCCCCCTCGATA